GCACTCTTTCCCGCTTCCCTCATTCCTTAGTTTGCAAGGGGACATCATCTTCCTGGATGAGGCCTGTTACCTCACTGCCTTAACAAATGGGAGTCTCCAGGGAATAAAAATGGCAACTTTTTGCTTGTGTTAATGAAGTTTTTTTTGCATTATTGTCTTCCAACGAGTTTCTTCCAGGAATGAGTCCCCCCTGCTTTGCCTCTGTGTTGCAGGATGGAAGGAGGAGAGCTGTTTGACAGGGTGGTGGGGAAGAAACGCCTCCAAGAAGCTACGTGCAAACTCTATTTTTACCAGATGCTACTGGCTGTACAGGTAAGAGAGGACAACCCACTTTCTTTTAGGCAAATTACTCTCTGAGTTAGACAGAAAGCAAAGGACCATGGATGAAGACCCAGAGAGCAGAGAGTCGTGTGTGTGTGGTTCAGTTCTTGGCAAACTTATCTCACCTCTTTGAGTCAGATGAGAAAGTTCTTGCTGTGAAGCTTAACAGAGAGAGAGAAAGGGAACTAAAGAAATAAGCAGATGGTCCCTTGTGTCCTCTCTTCAGCTTGGGGGTGTTTCTGGAGGGACACTGATGTCTACTTCTGCCTGACCCTGTAGACAGCTCAGGATGGGAGCTGGGCAGGCATGAGGGTAAGGCTGGCAAGTTGGGGTGGTTGTGACAGACGGATCACTCTCTCATGGCACAGTACCTGGTGTTCCCCATCCTGTGAACTGCAGCAGGCAGGCGGGCACGTGTGCTGCCTTCTCTGTCCCCTGAAAGTGTTGGGTGGAGGAACATCAGGTGGCACCCTGCCTGCTTCAAGGAACATACCCTTTTTCAAACCGAATTTGGTTTGCACCAGTTCCCTGCCAAGTTTGAAAACCTACTCCATGCAAGAAATGCAAAGATTGGGAGCAACTCCTGTGCTGAGAATGAGGAGGCTTACCTGGGGCCAGTCCACCTGGGTTTGCCCTCTCTGGAGGCTGCATCGGGTCCGTTTCCCGTGGAAGGATTTTGGGAGAATTTTTCCTCTATTCCAGAGGGATATACAGAGAAAATTAGAGCCCTTAAACACCTAACCAGTGTTCTGTTCTCTTAATGGTTTATTCCTTCCCTTATCCCAAGAATATTAAGATGACTTGAGTATAGACCAGGATATGGGAAATTAATTTTCTTAAAGAAGTATGACTTTGTATATAAAAATGAACAAAGAAACATTAACATTCTTTTTCAGTCATAGAGTTTTTGAATACCAAGTCAATGTTTGCATGGAGGAATATGTTAACTGGGTATTTAAGCAGATAATTGACAGATACGCACTTCACATATTCCCTTTAAAAATATTCTCAGATGGAATAGCCAAATATATTATTTTGGTGGAGTTTTTACAGTTTAATATGGTCTCAAAATATTTTTTATTACCCATTTACATTTTTATTAGTGAAATTGACACCTTATATTTCTGCCATTGTGAAGAGTGAAAAAGTCTACTGTCATCAGTTGCCTTTTTCATTTTTCTAGAAGATTGTTTTGAAAATAAATTTGTAATCACACACCTACTTCATGAGTCTAAGGACTAAGCCTCTCTTTCTGTGTAGTATCTTCACGAAAATGGCATTATACATCGGGACTTAAAGCCTGAGAACGTTCTGCTCTCATCTCAAAAAGAGGACTGTCTTATCAAGGTAAGAAATTTCTGTTCTGTATGTGACTACTTCAGTAGATTTCTGTTCAGAAACTGTTTTTTAATTCATCCAATAAAAAGTGGGAGCATAAAAAGGTCAAGACAGTTATTGTAGAGGTCAGGTGAGGTGATCGTTGCTCGGGTGCAGATTCTAATGAATACTGACTGAGCTCCAGTGTGTATGAGCCCCTTTTCGTGTTCGGAGGGAGGGAGAGGGGGTCTAGGTGGATGAGAGAATCATACCTCCTTTCTTCCTCTGCCCTATGACAAGACAGTGCTTCCCATCCTGGCTTCACTTTATAATCTTCTGTTGATTAAAAAAAAAAAAATTCAAAAAACCATCACGACACCCAGGCTACACCTCCAAATCGCTGAAGGTGGCACCCAAGTGTAAGTATTTTTTCCAGGTTCCTCAGGTATTCCAGTGTGCAGGCAAGTTTGAGAAATGGGTCTAAGAACCATGGATAAGTAAGTAGAATACTAGAGTGTCTGTGATAGGCATTTAAACCTTTTGGAAGGTTATAGAGAACACAGATAAGTCGGAAACAAAAGGCAACACTGGGCCTTGAGGATCTTTGGCTCAGGAATTCTAATTTAAAATTAAGTAACTTCCAGAGTTTAAAATTGCCTTACAAAGACAGGAATTTGTAGATTCCAGGTTAACAGCAGGTATGAACTATGTAAGAGAAGAACTAAGCTAGCCCGCATGTCTTTTGGGACTGGCAGACTATGTTAATTTTTGTATTTTATGATGTAATAAAAAATGATTCCCCTTTGTCCTTAATTTTAGATTACTGATTTTGGGCAGTCCAAGATTTTGGGGGAGACCTCTCTCATGAGAACCTTATGTGGTACCCCCACCTACCTGGCTCCTGAGGTCCTTAATTCCTTTGGGACTGCCGGATATGATCGTGCTGTGGACTGCTGGAGTTTAGGAGTTATTCTGTTTGTTTGGTAAGAAAGGTCTTCATTGCTTCAGAGTCTGGTTGGAAGTAATTAGTAATTAGAAATCAGAACTGTGTTTCGGTAGAGAGCTTGTGTTTAATTTGGGTCACTTTTTTTGACCACTGATGTAAAGAAAAATTAAATTTTTCATTATGCTGAAAAAAGAAATCTATATATCCGAATGCCACTTGATTTGTTTTCCTCTCTCTCTCTACCAATATTAAGCCTTAGTGGGTATCCACCTTTCTCTGAGAATAAGACTCAAGTGTCACTGAAGGATCAGATCACCAGTGGAAAATACAACTTCATTCCCGAAGTCTGGGCAGAGGTCTCAGAGGAGGGTATGGATACGAAAGGGTTAAGAACTCGTGGCTTGCTAAAATGTGTGTGTGCTGTGGTGGGAGTTTCTTTTCACATTCTGTGATGTTTCCTCCTGTCAATTCTGTTATTTTCTGTTACTTTTGCATCATTTGGGAGGCAAAGAATGTTATTAAGAACATGGGCTCCAGAGCCAGGACAACCTAGGCTCATATCCTGGGTCTGCTACTTCCTAGCTGTGTGACCTTAGGCAAGTTACTTAACCTCTCTGAGTCTCCATTTCCTTAATTTGTAAAGAGGGCACAATAAGCCCTTACCTTAAAGGGTTTTTGTGGGAGTGAAGTGTAACATACACCAAGAGCCTGGTACCTATTTAAGTGTGCAAAATAATCAGTTAACTTTTTAGTTACAAGTCTCTTTTGAGTACATAAGCATGTAAGAGCAAAATGTAATTAGTATTTTGTGTTTTACAATTTAGAAGTGTTACTTTGTAGTTCTCAAAAGAAGTAGAAAAAACTAAAACTAAATGCCAAATAATGTAACATAGATGATTATGTTCCGTGTCAGAAATCTAAGGAAAAATACCGTTGCAATGTACGAGGCAGCCTTCACTTGTTGATTGCTGTCAAGCTTTATTTCTGCCAAGCCTGCAGTTCCAAGGAAACTTGCTGGCTGAGAAACTGTCACCATCAGTCCATGGATTTGGGGAGAGTTGGTTGAGCATCCTGAGTGTCTTGGAACTGGGTGGAAGTTCAGGTTTAATTAGTTTACACTTGAGTGGATCCAGCAACAGAGGGAACGGAGAGCTAAGAGATGGTGACGAGCAGGCAGGGAGAGGTGGGGAGTGTCGTGGTCATCCTTGGTGTTCTCAGAGCACTCTGACCAGTGCACAGAATGAGGAGGTTTGGGGGCCTTGCCAGCCGCACCTGCTGACTCACGATGACTTCAGCCCCTCTTTCCTCTTTCTGGATGTTAGCCTGTGACTCTGGCATATTTTAATTTTGCTCATTTAACGTGTCTATCCTTGTCACTGTGATTTGCCAATTCTCTCCCTGCTTTAGCTCTGGACCTCATCAAGAAGTTGTTGATAGTGGAGCCAAAGGCACGTTTTACGACAGAAGAAGCTTTAAGACACCCATGGCTTCAGGTGAGTACAGGACGGTGCTTGTAGCATGAATTCGTGGGTGGCCCTGAACTGTGCCTGAATGAGGAGGAAGAGGACAGAAACACAACATGTCCTTTGTTGGATCTGTTGAATGCAGTTGTTTTAGACTGAGCGTTAGGTATGGGGTGGGTGCGCATGGGGTGTGGGTGGGCGTTCGGGTACAGTCTTTTCAGCTTGACTCGTGCCTCCTGGATGGACAAGCTCACCCTGGTGCATCCTGGTTCCAGTTGGCTTCGCTGAGTCTGCAGTCCAGCTGTGTTCCCTAGAGAGGTTGTTCTAGGTCTGAACCCCCACTCCCAGCTGTTTGCCCCTTTTCCCTCCAGACCCTCACCCCAGACAGGCGGGATGGGCTACCTTCCAGCTATCTTTAACCTTGAGTCAGGGAAACACAGGGAGGAGGAGGGCATCCTCCCACAGGGAGTCTGGCTGTTTCTTAAGCCCAAGTGATTGGGCAAGAAGAGCTGCACTTGGTCATGGTCAGTAAGCATGCCGTTAGCGCGGACTGCGCCTTTCAGGTCTGGTTACCCCTGTGTCCCTGCCACGGCGTGGCTGCCTTTACATTATGTGCTGACCTCATTCGCGCCGCCATAGTTGGAAGTCCTTTGCAGCTTTGCTGGGCTAATCTTTGGTTTAGAATTAGCTATAGCATCAGGCAGGTTTTCTCATGGATGTCAGGCCTTCTGGTAAATGCGTTTCTGTTCACAACCGTAGCCCCTTCTATTAACTTTCATTTGGTTTCTCTGTTTCCTGTGCAGATGGGGGACTTAACCAGGGAGCCTGAGCTAGAGGCTCTGGGGATGACTGGGCCGGGAGGTCCTGGGGCCGTCTGGTGTCATCTGTACTCCTGGGACTCCAGGACGCCTGTTCCTTTTCTTTCTCTCTTCCAACCCTCCACACCTGACAGTTTTGCTCAGGCTAGCTCAGTTTGAGGACAACAACTCCTTCAAAGAAAAAAAAAAAGTAGATCTGTGTGTTTGGGATGTTGCTCTGGAAACAGCCATCCCACAGAAGAAATCTGTCAGGTGATTTAGCACTTAATAGACCACACAGATTGGAAACAGTAGGACCCTGGGGAAAAGGAATTTGGAAGCAAAGGGTGCCTTTGCAGGTGAGGTTTTAATTTTGATGAAAAAGAAAAACATGGCTCCTGGCTTTTTTCATGTGCGCTGGTCGGGCGACTCTCAGGGGCCAGGTGCAGGGGCAGAGGAGCCGTGGCAGTCTCGGAAGAAATGGGGCTTGTCTGCTCAGCCTGGGCACGAGGTCTGCCTCTGCCCCAAAGTTATGAACAAGCATTGCCTACTTTTCTTGTATTTTATGTCTCAAAAGAAAACTTTTTAGTAACCGAGGGAAAGGTGAAGTTCAACCCTGCCTCAAGGGGTCTTACTTGAATACTCTTTAGTCCACATTTTGTTTGTTGCAGCACAAGGTGGAGCAAACATTGAGTGCAGACAAGGATGCAGGATGCCCACGTAAAGTGTCTGCTAGTGATAATTAAGGTTATATTTGGGGAAAATCCATTGTTTTTTGCAGAAACCAAAAGGTTTTGTGGGCGACACTGGATTGAGTGGAATGTGAGTTCCAGTCTCTGTTTTACCATTAACAGTGTCCAGTTTTGGGAGCATCCCTTATATCCATTTTTGGCCTCCTGTTCATTTCCTAAAACAGAATTCCTTTCTGCTTACCTTCCAGGCATATATATTGCAACTTAATATTTTCGAGTAGATTGTAGACATCTCGAAGGAAGGCTACTTACCTGATACACATGCCTCCCTGTGGTTTGTAATGAGTTATTTTTTCCTATTATTGCTAATTGATGACTTGGTTTATATACAGGCCTCAATGGGCTCATGGTCAGTTCTGCTTGGCTGCACCAAAGGGGTGTTCAGGGATGAAATGGTTTCATTTCTTTGTGCATTCGTTCTTTCAGAGGACAGTTAACGAGCTCATGTGTCAGGCACTGTTAGTCACTGGGGATGTACAGGGGAGTAGATAAGTCCTTGCCTTGGGGAGTTGACAGTCTAGGTGGGGGCCAACCCTGATTACAGTCACTATAGAAGAGTGGGGTACGTGGGGCAGGAGAGTTAGGTGCCAAGTATGGAGGACCCCCAGGATGAGATGGGGCTACTGCCCATGGGGCTCCACGTACCCACAGGTTCACACGGCGTGAAGTGTGTCTTAAGACTGAGTAGCCTGGGGATGACGTGGGTGTCAGTTAAGTTCAGGCTGCCGTAACAAAAAGCGCAGACTGGGTGGCTTAAACAGAAATTTATTTTCTCACAGTTCTGGAGGCTGGAAGTCCAATTTCAAGGAGTCGGCAGGTTTGTTTTTTCCTGAGGCTTCTCCTCTTGCCTTGCAAGTGGCCACGTTCTCTCTGTGTGCTTACAGTCCTGCTGCCTCTCTCTTCCCTTATGAGGACACCAGTCATATTGGATCAGTGAAGTTCAGGCTGCCGTAACAAAAAGCGCAGACTGGGTGGCTTAAACAGAAATTTATTTTCTCACAGTTCTGGAGGCTGGAAGTCCAATTTCAAGGAGTCGGCAGGTTTGTTTTTTCCTGAGGCTTCTCCTCTTGCCTTGCAAGTGGCCACGTTCTCTCTGTGTGCTTACAGTCCTGCTGCCTCTCTCTTCCCTTATGAGGACACCAGTCATATTGGATCAGTGCTGCAACCTAACACCTCATTTTAACTTAACTACCTCCTTAAAGGCCCTGTCTTCAAATAGAGTCACAGTACTGGGGTTAGGGCTTTGACATGAATTTGGAGGCATGTGTGGGATACACAATTCAGGTTCATAACAATGGGAGACAGCGTTTTCAACACTGACTGCGTCCCTCTGATATGGAGGCCCCTGTGCCTTTTGCAGTGCCTGGCATCCAAGGGTCCTTGGGAAATATTTATTCATCGAGTGAACGAGAAAGCTGGGTGGGGTGGATGGGCAGGAAGGCAAGGAGGGCATTCCTGGTGGAGGCTGTGAACAGGTACAGGAGGAAATAAGGGATGGACTTTTGACAGTGGCAGTGAGAAGTCCTAAGGGATTGTGGAGTGTAATCCAGATGAACTTGGTGCTCTCAGCACGGGCAGTGGGGAGCTGCACGGAGTGGTAGCGATGTAATAAACAGCAACGGAGGCAGGTGACTCTAGCTAGTAGATAGAGAATAGGGAATTGGTCCTTTGCACTATAATTGTTCTATGTCTGTCAAATTGCTGAATGTTGGAGACTTTGCCCTCTCCCCCGCCCACTGTGGTGAACTTGGCTTGGTGGGAGGAGTGGGGGAGGTGTGGTTGTGTGGGCAAGTACATGGGGCTTTGGAATCAGGCAGCTCTGGGTGTCTTCTGTTCACGCTGTTTGTGAGTGGCCATGGTGGGTTTCCCAGTGGTCCTAAAGCCCACAGTCCTGGTCATGGATGTTCACTTTCCTGAAGGTGTGGAGAGCCTCACCTGGTCACCTGTCAGGGCTCCCAGGTGCAAATCCTTGACCCTTGCAGAAGTAAGCATCCATGGGGGTGGGAGTTACCCCCCTAGACACTGGGCAGGAACTCTGGGTGTGCACACCCCGTGTTGCCTGTCCTTCCCCCTCCAGCAGCAAGAAACACCTGTAATGCAATGGCCTGCTCACTAGTCTTCCTTTCTCACTAGCTCTGGGACATTAGGGGCTGAAGTCCTTTTGGTGGCTTTTATACAGCACTTCCTGGGTGCATTTTGTTAGGACGCTGGGCTGTTTTGCTAGGGTTGCCCTAGTGACTGGCTTCACTGTTGGCAGGGAGAGGGGGCCCCTCCTGGAAAAATTTGGGGAGTTGCATGGAGTCAGCACGTAGATGACGGAGCCAGCCCCAACCTTTGGCCTCCTGATGGCCATCTTTCAGGATTTGGGTTGCTAGTTCTGAAAGTCCTTTGACTCCTAAGGTCTGTGGTTCTCTGGCGCACTGAGTACTCCTAGGCATGTGGGTTTGAGGCAGCCGTCAGTGTCGATAGGACACTGACTGTGACAAGACTTCACTGGGAAGCAGAGGTGAGGAGTGTGTGCTCCTTTGTCCTCTGGACCTTCAGCAAGGGCATGCCTCTTTTGGGACAGACTGGCTGTCTTTGCCCACTTCCCTGTTTCCAGGGCATCCTAGCGCTATTTGTCTAGGAATTTACTTTCCTTCACACACAGCCTACTTATATTTTTTCATTCTTCACAGGATGAGGACATGAAAAGAAAATTTCAGAAGTTGGTTTTTGAAGAAAATAAGTTGACGGCTCTATCCCAGGTCCCCACCCAGGTATTCCAGATGACGGTCATTAAGTGCAGGCTACGTTTAAAGAGCTGATGAGCAAGGATGAGCGGTCTCTTTGGTAGCAATTGCTTAACACTGTTTAGAGGAGTGAGCTCCCAGGTGCAAATCCTTGACCCTTGCAGAAGCAAGCATCCATGGGGGTGGGAGTTACCCCCCTAGACACTGGGCAGGAACTCTGGGTGTGCATACCCCGTGTTGCCTGTCCTTCCCCCTCCAGCAGCAAGAAACACCTGTAATGCAATGGCCTGCTCACTAGTCTTCCTTTCTCACTAGCTCTGGGACATTAGGGGCTGAAGTCCTTTTGGTGGCTTTTATACAGCACTTCCTGGGTGCATTTTGTTAGGACGCTGGGCTGTTTTGCTAGGGTTGCCCTAGTGACTGGCTTCACTGTTGGCAGGGAGAGGGGGCCCCTCCTGGAAAAATTTGGGGAGTTGCATGGAGTCAGCACGTAGATGACGGAGCCAGCCCCAACCTTTGGCCTCCTGATGGCCATCTTTCAGGATTTGGGTTGCTAGTTCTGAAAGTCCTTTGACTCCTAAGGTCTGTGGTTCTCTGGCGCACTGAGTACTCCTAGGCATGTGGGTTTGAGGCAGCCGTCAGTGTCGATAGGACACTGACTGTGACAAGACTTCACTGGGAAGCAGAGGTGAGGAGTGTGTGCTCCTTTGTCCTCTGGACCTTCAGCAAGGGCATGCCTCTTTTGGGACAGACTGGCTGTCTTTGCCCACTTCCCTGTTTCCAGGGCATCCTAGCGCTATTTGTCTAGGAATTTACTTTCCTTCACACACAGCCTACTTATATTTTTTCATTCTTCACAGGATGAGGACATGAAAAGAAAATTTCAGAAGTTGGTTTTTGAAGAAAATAAGTTGACGGCTGTATCCCAGGTCCCCACCCAGGTATTCCAGATGACGGTCATTAAGTGCAGGCTACGTTTAAAGAGCTGATGAGCAAGGATGAGCGGTCTCTTTGGTAGCAATTGCTTAACACTGTTTAGAGGAGTGATGTAGTAGATTATTTATTTCAGCTTGATCTGCTCTAGCACCCTCAGAAGATTTAATAATGAAACGTATGTTTACTGCATTAGAGAGGCACAGCGAGGGTTTGCCATTCAAGAGGGCTCTGCAAGGCAAGAGTGGAACACTGTACTAGAGGTTCAAATTTAAACTTGTTGAAAAATTTAAAATTTGGGTGAGTGGTTGATGATTTATAGATTATGATTTTATTCCTCTAAAGTTCTTTGTAAGTATGAGTTAATATCTGTTCATCCCTGTCCTGCCCTCTTGGTGAATGCTAACACCTCTATCCCCACTGCAAATGGGAAAATAAAGACACAAAAAAGGATTGTCTTCCCTTAAAAGAGCGAGACTTGGGGCTCCCAGGGAGACGTACCGTGGTCCCTTTAAACCTCATAATTTAGGAGATGAGCCAATGTTCGGCTACTTACTTTCAGTATCCACCAGTGAGTGCTTGGAAACCGCAAGGGAGGGAAATGTCATTTTGATAAGCATGACTTGAGTCTGGGGGTTTGGGAGGCAGTGTTGGGGGGATTCTGATGTCAACAAGGACACCCAGTAACTCTTGGTACTAGAACATGAAATGGTCCAATATTGGAAGCATGTTGGGAGCCTTTTAATCTTGAAGAAGCCAATGCTTTTCTTTGAACATTTGTCCCTTTTCCTTGATTTCTAGCCTCTCACGGGTCAAAAGCGGCTTCTTGAAGGGGAAGCAGAGGATGCCGACACCACAAAGCGCCTGGCCGTGTGTGCTGCTGTCTCGTGAACGCTGGGTGAACGTGAAGAAATGTACCTTCTTGAACTCTACTGCCATTTTCTTTCAATGTGCTTTTTTATAGCTTGTATTTTAATTACAGGAACAGTAGCTTTTCCACAATCGTCCCTACACAATTCAAAACCTAATGAAACTTGGGCTTGGTGCTTACCAGCCCTTCAGTTCCATGCCTCTTTGTGTGTGTGTGTTTGAAGTTGTGTGCCTTTTGTGTGGCACTCTACCTTCACTGTAACCAGGCAGGTTTTTGAGGATGTATCCCTGGTGCAGCCTGGGTGAGCTGCATACAAATTCTAAAGGCTCCTTAGAAAGCTGCAGGGAAAGGGGCATATGCAGTGTGGCTGGGGTGGAGTTTGTAGAGTCATGGTGGCTGCCAAAGTCCTCGCGAGATGGTAGATAATCTCAATGTGTTTTAAATTCTCTTCTTCACCCTCATAAAGATACCGGTCCACAGTCCCTGAAACCATGGGGCCAGAGAAGTTGTAAAATCCAAAAGTTGCCTGATTTTAGGAAGGAACAAGACACCTCTGACTGGATAACATGTAACAGCAGAATCCGATGGCCAAACCCTTTGGTATTTCTGCAGCAGATATTCACAGTAAAGGGACAGGGAAGACTGTAAGTCCCATGGCAGTTCAGGTCAGTCTTTTCTGCCCAGTGAGGTATGGATGACTCAAGTTTGTGAGCTCTTTGGACATTGGGACTGCAGAGAAGACAAGGGCATGTCCTCTTGACCCAACAATAACCAAGGAGGCCCTATGGAAAGCCCCTCCCTCAGTCTTGTCTAGTTTTTGCAATGATTCTGTGGACTAGGTCCTCTGACGACCCTCATGTCATAGGTAAGGAACCCAGGCTGAAGGAGTAAGGTGACTTGTCCAGTGTCATACAGCCAGTAAGTGACAGAGCTGGGATGCAACCTCGGTCTTTCTGACCCTAAAACTAATGTTCCTCACTTCAGTCCCATATTGTATTGTTGACTCATACAAAACTCATAAAAGCCTGAAGGCTAAATCTTCAATGCCAGTGCGTTCAGTTATTATGAGTGGGTTACAGCCCCCTGATGTGTGGAAGTTGGGATATCCTGGTGGCAAGGAGCAGAGGAAAAGGACGTTTGTTCCGAGGGTGCAGATGGCTGGGCCTGGGAGCCACCAGGGGCGCCGGGAGTCCTAGTGGCTGACTCTATAAAGTGTCCTTTTCTCACCTACCGATTTTGCTTCTCTTGTAACTCTGGCTGCATGGATGCTGGCCATGCCCTGAGTTGAGGGATTTGGTTCAGCTGCCACTGTTGAGCCGGCCAGGGCAGGATCAGGGGCGCACAGCTGTTGCCCCAGACAGTGGGGGCGGTGGTTGGCAATTTCCATTAGAAGTGTATGCGAGCATTCTGAGGCTTGGCTGGCCTGTGGGAGGTGGGAAGCGGCTAAATGGGGATTTGGTGGTTTGCATATTTAAAGGCATGAGGCCCAGAATGCCAAGTTAGAGGTGGGTTTTAAAAGCTCATTTGAATAACATGAAGGCTGTAATTTCTTAGGGCCCTTTCCCTTTTTGGGTCAGTCAGCGAGCCAGTCTCTGTTTTCAGAGCACTTTGTATTAGCTCCCTCTGATCATACCTACAAGGGTAGGCTGGATAGTGGCCCCCAAAGATGTCCCCGTCCTCATCCCCAGAAATGATGATCATGTTCCTTTACATGGCAGAGGAGACTCTGCAGATGTGATGAAATTAAGGATCTTGAGATGGAAAGATTTCCTGTGTTAACGGGGTGGGATCAATGTCATTAACAATGTTCCTTTTAAGAGGGACACAGGGGGAGTCAGAGAAGAGATGGAGTTAATGCACTTTGAAAATGGAAGAAGGGACTGCAAGCCAAGGAACACAGGCAGCCACTAGAAGCTGAAAAAGGCAAGGTAGTGGATTGTCCCCTCAGAGTCCCCTGAAGGAACCAACCCTTTACACCTTGACTTTAGCTGAGTGAAAGTGATTTCAAGACTTATGATCTACAAAACTGGAAGAATAAATTTGTGTGAAGCCACCCAATTTGTAGTAAATTGTTACAGAGGCCATAGGAAACTAATACACTCACCAGTGGGGAGACATCAGCTGCTGATTTGGGGCCACCCAGCACCCACATACTCTACCTCACCTCCAGTTTTTCGGGGGGGAATACCTTTTCTCTATTCCATGAAGTTATGGGGGGAAGGAGAGATGGTAAAGTTCAGTGCTGTCTGCTGCTCACTATGGAAGCTGAAGGGGTCCCTCCTGCCAGCCACCCAGCTGGAGGTGGGCACAGGACTCTGAAACAGAGCAGATGGAGCCGGTGTGGCATTAGTGGTAGAAGCAATATTGTGCTACTCGGTTCTTTGCACTTCCTGACTTTGGCTTTGTGCAAGTTCCTTCAAACTGCTGAGCTTTTATACCCTTATCTGTAAAATGGGTGCAGTAACCTCGGGTGTTTTGTGAGGATTCCAAGTGGACGGCCCATGTAAACTGCCTGGTTTGTCGGAAGGGATCCATCAATGTTGGCTTCCGTCATTAAAGGCGGGAGGGCCACATCAGTAGTTAGAGGGAGCCATGGAAAGGTCTTGAGCCAGAAAGTAACACTATCTGCTCAGCTTTTTGCAGAGGGCACACAGATGGGTGGATCATTGAGATGTGTTTAACAAAGCAGATTTGGGGAATGCCAGGCCTGGGGTTTGGTGGTGGGAACAGAGGTGGAGGGGCGTTTCCCAGCAGGTGAAGTAACTGCCATTACCTTCTGAAGAGCAAGCATGCTGTTTCATGGAGACCTGCTCTGTGCCTAGATGATGGTGAAATGGACAGCTCTTATTTGGGCCAGTCCTGCACCTTCTGCCTCTTTTAATTGCATCCCTCTTTCTCTTGGGGAGGCATCCCTCCTCCCACATCCCATTTCCTTCTGGAGGGACTGACCCCTTGGTAGAAGGGCTCCAGATTGCCAGGTTTAGCCAATCTTGCTGTGCTTGGCTGAGGCAGGGACATGAGACCCAACTGGGTGCAATGAAAGTCAACTCTGAGACTTTGGCTGGAGCTATTGGAAAACAGCTCCACTTTCCTGCTTGGAGCTTGCTGGGACACTATGTGGAAAGAACTGCATGAGAATGAAGTTGTCACAGAGAGAAGCAGAGCTGAGAGAGAGGAGAGAAAGACGTGGGTTACTGTTTGAGCACCTGGATCCAGCTATGCCTGAAGTGAGGTGTCACTCCAGGAGTTTTCAGTATGTTCCCTATTTTGTTTTGCTCTAGGTTGAGTTTTTTTTTTTTTTTAATCAATTGTATCTGGAAAAGGCCAGACTAATAAATTGAACCATTTACAAACTCCAAGAGACCTTCGGAGACTTGTCTAGTAGGGAAAATATTCTCTGTGGTTTTTCTTCTAACTTCAGGGTTTTCAGAGAGATTTGGGGCAGAGAATGGAAAGCGAAGATGTGGGAAGTAATTGGTCTTTCCAGCCCTAAGGTTGAGTGAACCCCTCCCTGCTAATTATACCACAGAGTTTGGGAGCAGAGCCCCTTTCATTAAACTTTTAGGGGTCTTGGAATGGTAGGGCTGGAATTATATCAGTGAAATTTGGAAAGCTTGATAGACGCCGGGCACTGTTCTAAGGGACATAAACACATCATCTGAAGCTCACCTTAACCCAATTATATCAGTGAAATTTGGAAAGCTTGATAGACGCCGGGCACTGTTCTAAGGGACATAAACACATCATCTGAAGCTCACCTTAACCCTGTGAGGTCCTACTGCCACTCTCTACTTCGCTGATGTAAATATTCAAGGCTCTCTGTCTTGTTCAAGTGACCTGTTCAAGGTCTTCCAGTTTGCAAGAGTTAGAGATGTGACTTGAACCGCGATTTCCCTTCTCTAGATTTTTTGGGTTTTGACCATTAAACAAAACTAAGACGTCTTGTCACTCGATTACCACTCGGTAAGTACAAGCGTGGTGTTGACAATTCATCTGGATTATTTCATGAGTTCTGCCAACATGCCTTAGTTGTCAGACCTTCCTGATCAAGGAGAAATAGGCCACCAAAGACCCGACCTTAATCATGCAAAGGTTAGCGGAGATGTGGGACTCTGTATCAGGTTCTCCACCTAGTCTGACTCTCCCAAGGCCCTAGGCATTCACTGTGCCACGCTCTCGCTCACATGCTTCCCAAACCTCCACAACAGATCCTCACCTTAGGTGTGTCCTCCAGGCATTAATTGGGGCTAATTCCCTCTTGCCTTACGTCCGGCCGAGCGGGTGAAGCAAACAGGCATTGCGAGCAAGGGGCCCGCGAGCCGGTCCGGGGGTAGTCCGCAGTGCGGCAGGCGGAGGCGCCGAGACCAGAACGGCCAGCGCTCTGGCCCGGCCGGGTGGGTGCGGAGGGGGTGGGCGCGGCGCCGGGAACAGCGGCCGGCTCCGGAGGGCGCGAGGCGGGGCGAGCGGTGTGGGGGTGCGGCGAGTGCGCGCTTGCGCGGTCGGGGGGAATCCGCGGAGGCGCGCGGGGGGCGTGCGCGCGCGTGCGCGGTGGGGGTGTGTGTAGGCTGCCGCGGCGGCGCGCAGCACGGCGGGAACATGGCGCGCGGGGCCGGCGCGCGCGCGTAGCTGGCGGGACCGTTAGCTCGAGGCGGACGCGGCCCGGGTCCCGCGGGGATGGAGCAGTCGCTGCCGCCGGCGCCCGATCCGACGCCGGGGCCGACCCCCGCACGGAGCCGTAGGCGGCGGGAGCCGGAGTCGCCGCCGGTGCCGGCGCCGGTGAGTGCGTCAGGGGCGCGGGCCGGGAGACTTTCTTTGTGAAACTCCGTCGGTGCTAAGCGGGCCGGGCCTCCGCCGCGGACGAGCGCCTGCGAGGCGGGACCCTCCCCTTCGTCCTGGTTCCAGCCCCGCCTCGCGCTGCTCGGCTACTGGACCTGGTCTGCCGCCTGCCTGCCCCAGGTTCCGCGGGAGTTGCGTGTGTGCGCGCGCGCGGGGTGTGTTTGTTGGGGGGGTCGGGGGCGGTGTACAGTCGGCGCCCGGCGCCTCTCCTTTGCTTCTGTCCCCGCGGGGTGGCAGCTGCCCCCCATCAGGGGCCCGCGTCCAGGTAGACGGCAGCCACTGGGAGACAGGTGTCGGTGTAACCCGAGGTGGCTCAGGTGCAGACAGCCTCAGGTGGAATCTCGGGGAGTAAGCTGCCCGTCTCGGAAGGAAGCAAGTCTGTTGGTGGGTGAGCGCAGAGTGATTTTGAAATGCTTTACATTCACCCCAGCTTCATGGTGTGTTTGGGGTATTGGTCAGGCTGAAGGATGATGAGCAAAATGGACTTTGGAGGTGTGGCTCCCACAGGATGGGGATGGGATGGCCCAGAGCTTTGGGGTCCCCAAACAGCCAGGACATAGGAATATCTGGAGCGCTTGATAACTAACTATACAAGCGTCACAACTCGCCCCAGGCCCAGGGACTCAGACTCTGCAAAGTAGAGGAGCAGATTTTGAATTTTTAACAAGCCCTCAAGTTGCTCTGATCTGACAAACTTGACAAGCACTGCTTTAGAGTAAGCTTCCTGTAAGCAGGGACCTGGTCTGTTTATAGCGCACCGTGCATCCTGGTACCAGATGCCGCGCTCAGCACAGGGTAAATGGTCCTTAGGTATTTGTAGGAAGACTGAATGACTTAGGGAGTTTCCAAAAGAGTATTCTTGAGACATTTTCAGGAGCTTTTTGAGATGAACTCGGTCAGATTTATTGTATAATGTGATTTTTCTCGGGTCTTAATAACTTCAGTGGGCTGTTCATAATGCGTCCAGTATGTTCTAGAAAAAAGCAGGGTATGCATTACTTAGTATAAACCATCAGCTATGTATACCCTAGCTAGGCTAAAATTACTTATGAGACAAAATTCTGAATTAAAGATAAATGTTCTTTCTTTTCATCATTTTGGGAACACTAGCCTTACAGGATTTTGTTCCTTTGAGTCAGGTAAATATTTACATTTTCATCAAAGGAAATCAGAATTACTGTTTATTCAGAAAAGTTGGCAATTTGCTTAAACCTTGTAGTCTTTCTGTGAGGTTTTGAAATTGAGATTTATCTTTAGTTCAGAGTCAAAGCTAAAACAGAATTGTTTGAAGGTTATTGGATATTTCAGAGGCTGTTTTCATGTTTTTGAATCTCAGTAGTTGATTTCATTTCAATTGTTTATTGTTCACTGGACTTAACATTATGTATATAGGAAGACAAGGCTTTAGAAGTGGAGACTGCATCTGAAGAAGAAACATAGAAAAATTAGGTACTTTATTCTCTCATTTTTATAATTTATGTGGATTTCTTTTTAAAAATTATTTTATTGAGCTATATTGACAGAGGTTTCAGATGTACAACATAATGATTTGATATTTGTATATATTGCAAAATTATCACATCCATCACCATACATAGTTATAAATTTTTTTTCTTGTGAGAATTTTTAAGAAGATCTTAAGAACTCTCAAATATACAATACAGTATTATTAACTATCATCAACATGTATGACATCCCCATGACTGTCTTTTGTTTTTAAGGGTCTTTGAAAAACCCCACAAAACTTGGTGAGATATATATTCACCTACCATAAAATTAACATCTGTAGTGTACAATTTTATGGTTCATAGTATATTCGGTATATGCCCAACTTCATTGTTATCTACTTTAGAGCATTTTCATCACCCCACAAAGAAATTCCAACCCATTAACATTCCTTATGCACCTTAATCCAGCCCCTGGTAATAACTAACCCATTTTCTGTCTCTATGAATTTAGCTATTCTGGATATTTCACATAATGTAATCTCACAATATGTAGTCTGGCTTCTTTCACTTAGCACAGTGCTTTTGGAGTTCATCCATGTTTTGTAGCATGTATCAGTAAGTATTTCATTATTTTTATTACTGAATAATATTCCATTGAATGGATATACAAGAATTTGTTTACCCATTTATCCATTGATAGGTGTGGATTTTTTCTACTTTTTGGTTATTATAAACAATGCTGCTATGAACATTTATGTCTAAATTTTATGGGAATATATGTTTTAATTTCTCTTTGGTATATCCTAATTGCTGTATGTTACTATTTTAACCTTTTGAGGAGCTGACATTCTTAAAGCACTGCATCATTTTACATTCCCACCAGCAATGTATGAGGGTTCCAGTTTTTCTACATCCTCATGAATACTTATTATTGTCTGTCTTTTAACTTGAGCCATCCTACATCCTAGGCGGTGTAAAAAGGTATCTTGCTGCAATTTTGATGTGCATTTCCCTAATGACTATGATGTTGGGCCTATTTTTTTGTGCTTATTGGCCATTTTTTATCTTTGGAGAAGTGTGTCTTCAAATCATTTGTCCATTTTTTGGGTCCATTTTTAAGTTGGGTTGTCTTTTTATTATTGAGTTGTAGCGGTTCTTGAAATATTCTGGATACTAAGCCCTAATCAGATAAATGATCTGCAGATATTTTCTCCCATTTCATAGTTTGTCTTTTCACTTTCTCGGCAACTTCCTTTGTTGCAAAAAAAGTTTGAGTTATGATGAAGATGAAGTCTGATTATTTTCTTCTTTTACTGCTTATGCTTTTGGTGACATATCTAAGAATACAGTGCGAAATCTGAGGTAATGAAGATTTACTACAATACTTTCTTCTAAGAGTTTTATGTTTTTAACCCTTATATTTAGGTTGTTGCTAACATTTTGAGCCAATTTTTGCATATGGTGTCCAAATTCATTCTTTTGCTTATGCTGATCCAGTTGTCTGAGGAATATGTATTGAAAAGACTGTTTTTATCCATTGAATGTTCTTTGCACCCTTACTGAAAATCCATTCACTTTATGTTAGATTTTATTTCTGGACTCTGAATTCCATTCTATTGTCTTTTCTTAACCCAGTACTACATTATGTGACTACAGTAGTTTTGTAATAGGTCTTGAAATAAGTCTAAGTCCTGTGACTTTGTACTGCTTTTCAAAGATGCTTTGGCTTCTCTGGGTCCCTGATACATGGATTTTAGCATCAGCTTATCAATTTCTGCCCAAAAGTAGTTAGACTTTTTATAAGTATTCTGTTTAATCTGTCCTTTCAATGATGTTTTCCAGTTTCCAGGTCCTAGCCTTATGCTTCTTTCAAAAATTTACTCCCAAGTATTTTGTTCTATTTGATGCTGTTGCATATGGAACTGTTTTAAAATTTCATTTAATATAATCATTGTTCATCAGTTGATTGCTAGTGTTTAGAAGAAATACAGGTAAGTTTTGATGTATCTTTTAATTTAATCATTTAGTGGTAGTCTGTTCTATTTTTCCATTTCGAATCTTCCCTCCAAAATAGTGAGGAAGGATGGTCTTTGAAATCTAAAGTATGAATGCAGATTTAAGTTCTTATATCTGAGTTTTAGTTCTGGTAGTTGTATGAGTTTTAACAAATCTTAACTGTTATACATCTCAGTGTTCTATTCATATGTATAATGGGATGGGGGATATTCAAAGGATTGTTAAGTAAAGAGAATGTAGGTAGATATTTAGAAAAATGCCTTGCATGTGATAGCAATTTGATATATTTGTTGTATATTTTCCATTCATGAACTCCATTTAAAAACAAGCCAGAAAACAAAAAGCAAAACAAAACAGCAAACTAATACAAAAATGACAAAAAACACAGGCAAACCCAAAACCACAGACCGGAAAAAAAAAAAACCCACAAAGGAAAAACCACAAACAAAAACCTCAAACCTCTTCCTGTCCCTATCACTTTTCTGTGACCGAAGACATTTGTAAGTACTTGAGGAACAGTGAAAGACACAGTCTTTCACCCCACACAGTTGTAAAGACCTGCTATTTTATTTAGGTTGTTGTGTGGGATATTTGACAATGTATCTGTTAGTATTATTAAAATAATAAAAGTGTACCTCCAGGCTGTTTTTACCCCATAGTTCTTTTTTTTTTTTAAATATTTTTTGATGTATAGTTGACATTATAATAGTTTCAGGTGTACAACATAGTGATCCCACATATATTTCATTTCATTATTTTTAAAATTTTTTATTAAGGTATTATTGATATACACTCTTATGAAGGTTTCACATGAAAAAACAATGTGGTTACTACATTTACCCATATTATCAAGACCCCACCTATACCCCAATGCAGTCACTGTCCATCAGTGCAGTAAAATGCCACAGATTCTCTATTTGCCTTCTCTGTGCTACACTGTTTTCTCCGTGTGATCCCACATTTATATACATTACAAAATGCTCATCATGATAAGTGTAGTTACCCTCTTTCACCATTACAAACCATTATATTATTGACTATATTTCCCATGCTGTACCTTTGTCCCTGTGATTTACTTATTTTATAACTGGAAGTTTGTACATCTTGATCCCCTTCAGCTATTAGGTCTATCCTCATACTACTACTATCCTCTGGCAGCCACCAGTTCTCTGTCTTTTTGAGTCTGTTCTGGCCTTTGTTTGTTTGTTCATTTGCTTTGCTTTTTATAGAAGTGAAGTCAAAGGGTATTTGTCTTTTTCTTTCTGACTTATTTCACTAAGAATAACGCCCTTTAGGTCCATCCATGTCACAAATGGCAAGATTTCATTCTTTCTATGGCTGAGTAATATTCCATTGTGTATATATACCGTATCTTCTTTATCCATTCATCTGTTGATGGACAGTTAGGTTGCTTGGCTATTGTAAATAATGCTACAGTGAACATAGGGGTGCATATATCATTTTGAATTAGTGTGTTTGTTTTTTTGGGTAAATACCCACAAGTGGAATTACTAGATCATCATTTTGTTTTTATTTTTTCATATCCAATAAGACATTGATTCTCATAGTTCTTATTAATGTGGTGTTCTTTCACTACTTATTTCTCCTAAAAGCACCCCAGTTAAAAATGAACAAAATATTTGAGTAGACATTTTTCAAAGTATATATATATATAATATATATATATTATATATGTATATAAATGGCCAATAAGCACATGAAAAGGTATGCAATATCATTAGCATCAGGGAAATGCAAATCAAAACCACAATGAGATACCACTTCACAGCTACTAAGATGGCTGGAGTAAAAAAGACAGATGATAACAAGTGTTGGTGAAGATGTGGAGGAATTGGAGCCCTCGTACACACCCAGTAGGAATATAAAATGGTGCAGCTGTTTTGGAAAACAGTTTGATATTTCTTCAGAATGCCAAACATAGAGCTGCCATATGGCCTAGTAATTTCACAATTAGGTTTATACCCAAGAGAACTAGAAACATTTATACACACTGAAACTTTATATGTGAATGTTCACAATATTATTATTATTATTATTTTTGGTTAAACTTGGGAAACATTTACTTACTTTCCCAAATCACCAGTCATGGATGTGAGTGGCTAAATCTTAAATCTCAGGAAAACATAGCACTACTGAGTGACTATTAACATCTACGGAGAACTTCAGTATTTGGTCACAGTGTGTAGAGCTCCTGGTGTTGGTCCCACAAGCTCTCTTTGAATTGACCTATAGCAGCATTATTTTTGATAACCCCAAAGTGGATACAAACGTTAAGTGTAGCAACTAACTGTTGAGTGGATAAAAAAATGTAATGTAGCCATACAATGGAATATTATTTAGTCATGAAAAGGAAGAAGTACTAATATGATACAATATAAATGAACCTTGAAAGCATTATTCTGAGTGAAAGAAGCTAGTCACAAAAGATCACATATTATATGATTTATATGAAATATATTTATGTGAAATATTCAGGACAAACAAATCCACAGAGACAGAAAATGGTTTAGTGTTTGCCAGGGACATGGGGAGGAACAGTGGCGAGTGACTGCTAATGGGTATGTGACTTTTTTGGGGGTGATAGAAATTGTAAATTAAATTATGGTAATGGTCACAAAACTGTGAATAAATAAAAACCCACTGAACTGTGTGCTTTAAATGCATGAATTTTATGGTATGTGAAATATAAGTCATTAGAGGTATAGAAAACACAACTAGAAATTAATAATGTCTAATCTGTTAAAATGCCATGAAAGATACTCTCCTAAAGTGTTCATTCCCCCCCACCATTTTGTTTTCATTAACATATGGTAAGATGAACAGGGTTATTATACCTGTCATCTAAGGCTAATCTAAGGAGTGACTAACTAAACCCCAAAGTAATTAATTGAGTACATATATGTATAATTACAAACATATGGAAAAGTAAATTGAATCCAGTAATAAACCTTTATATTTTCTTAT